TCCAAGGCTGTCAGGTGATTCTTGAGGCCCTCCGAAAGATCCAATAAAAGTGGGTCTTCATACCCAGAATGGCTTCCAAGGTCCTCTCTGATGTCTTCAGGGGTGGAGGATCTCAGACTAATGGGAAGGGTGATCAGGGAAACTCAGTGGGAGGAAGAATGAAAAAGTAGAATTTTATTTTAGTTTGAGCGATCCAGGCTGATCCCTCAGTAGGTCAAATTCTTGCAGTTTATTTTAGTTCACTTTATTCAAGTTGGCACTTTAAAAGCTGAATAGTCTATTACTGCAGCACGTCCTGCTGGGGAACCACATTACTGCTGCTCCCTCTTTTTCCTTCTCTCTCTGCATCTTAGGTGGGAATATCTGTTTTTCTTTGTTTCTTCCATTGTTGTTGTTTCCACCCTTGGGGCATAGTCTCTTCTACTCCCCTTCCAGATTATTCTAGTATCTTCTGAGAGTTCTGGAGTAAATGATCATGATCTCTTGGCTAAGTAGACGCTCAATGTCGTAAGCATTCACATTATTTGGTTCATTCATTCAACAAACCCTTTTTGACACACAATATGTGCTGTGTTAAGCTGGACTGTTGGCTGGATTGGTTGGCAAGCTGCCTGCGGGATTAATAAAACACATTCCCGCACGCATCTGAGGTGAGTCATGGAAGCATGATGTTGGCTCCTATGTCTGGACTCTGGTCCCTTCTGCTCTGATGCTGCTCCCCTGCTGTGGTTCCTGGCCACCGTGAAGCCAGCAGCTTGGCTTTACCTTTTCCTTCTACCGTGATGTTCCTGCCTTGGAGCCAGCCAGCCATCAATGGAATCCTCTGAGACGGTGGCACCCGTCCTCTATAAAGCTGCAAGTGGCAGATATTTTGTCTAGGAGTGGGAAAGTTGACCAATACATGCCATATGAGTTTGACAGTGAATGTCATGCACACAAACCTTGTTCCATAGGGGTTACAGTCTAGGGGAGGAGCCAAAGAAGTAAAAAGATGAGAAATACAAGATGACACACCTGTGTAAAAAGGTTCAACTCAAGATGCTATGCTTTGTTTGACCAAAGGTTACACTTGATTAAGCCCAATATCCAGGTCACTGAGGGTACAAATAAGAACTGGAGAGTACCCCAATTTCCGTGTCCCTATTCTGAGATCTAGGGTAGAGTATAGCCTGGTCTTATCTATTCTCAGAAGTTTTTTTTTTTTTTTTTTTT